AACAATCAAAAGGATTTTTTCTTTGTTGAAAGGTTGGTTTGTTTATTTTAGTTTTGTATTCGCACATATGAATGAATTTTATAGTATTTTCTCATAAAAGAACCACTATATCATATGCAAATTTTATTACCACTACATTATGTACAGATTTTCATTCTAAAAATAATTGATCAATCACTGAAAAGTATGGCAAAAATATTCCAACTTTTGTTAAAAATATCTACTATTTTATTTTTCCCATGCTGTATAGAGACTTTATTCTATTTCGCAATGCCGGCAATGTTAAAGCTTTTTAAAAATATGTGCAGTTAACAATATATTGTTTTATTTGCAGATAAATCAAATTAACAGCATACCCTCTAGATCATTTTGTAATATCCCCAAGCAGGAAAATTCTTAATGTAAATGAAACACTTATACCATTTGACAAAAACCAAGAGTCAATTTCATCAATAAATGTTTGTACAATCCCACAATTCCAAAATATATGTTCAATTGTTTCTGCTTCTTCTTGGCAAAAAGTACAGTTTGGATTGTCAATAACATTAGTTTTATTCAAAAATTTATTTTTACCTAAAATATGCTGGTTTATTCAATATTGTGACCACTGCAGTTTGGTATTTGTAGTGACTATAAAAGTTAATTTAAAAATTAGTCTCCATTCATTTTCATCTGATCCTAAAATTCCAATCCTCTTTTTCTGACCTGTTGAAACTATATTATTTCTAATTAATAGTGAATATATGTCTTTAGTTCCCTTTGAACTTTTCAAAAAAATCTTGGCAAATGAAGGAATAAATGGAGTGGCTAGTTTATATTTATCAAATACATAGCACTTTCCTGCATTCTTTACAGTAAAAATTATGCTGTTATATTTCATAACATTTCTGTCAAATTTGAATTTTGTTTCTAACTGTTCCAAACTGAGAATTTTTCCAGCATCTGATACAATGTCAATAATAAAAAATATACCTTTATTGAACCAGTTTATATAAACTACAGGTTTATTCTTTTTTTATTTTTATACATTTGTTCTTCCACAGTGGGCTTAATAAAATATATTCCAAGGAACAGTTTTCTTCTTTAAAAACAATAGTAGAATACACCATGCCAAAATTAGTTTTTTCATATTTCCTGTAATGTATGACAGATAACCATTATCAAATTTAATTATTTTTTCTTGATTCATTATGGAAAATAAAATATTTTTCCATTTATAGTTAGATTGAAAAAGTTTTCTAACATATGTAGATTTGAGGGCTGTGACGAAGGGGCTAAGGTTGATCATTTTCAACCCACCTGCACTGTAGCCTTTTTGTAACAGCTCTTTTTTGACTCTATGTACAGGCGAATTTCAAATAAATGTAAAAATAAGCTCGTTAATCTTTTTAACAAGTTATTGATCTGGATTTGGCATTGTTATTATAAGGTAATTAAGGACAGGTAAAATCAGAGTTTTCACAACTGTGATTTTACCTATTACTGTAATATTTCTTTTGACCACATCTTAATTAGAATTTTTATCTGCAGAACTTTCTCATTATAATTAATGTTAATAATTTTATCAAGAACAACATCAAAATTAATACCCAATAACTTAAAAGTTGTTGTACTCCAGGATAAATTGATATTTGGACAATTCATTCATTCATATCTTTATTTCCTCTACATAGAGATTACACGAATTATATTATCATGAACAATAAATTGATAAATAAATAAAAGAAAATACAAATGATAAAGTTATAAACAATACGTAATATTTACATATAAATGCAAATTCTAATATACAGTAAAAGAGTAAAAGAGAATATATCGTAAACTGGCGATATTGCATGTGCTAACATTATACTTTATTGTGTATTCGGATGCAGATTTTATTACACGGACGTAGCAAAGTCGCTAAGACGGGTGGCACATGTGGAGCTGGATCTGCTTACCCTTCCGGAGCACCTGAGATCACCCCTAGTTTTTGGTGGGGTTTGCTTTGCTCAGTCTTTAGTTTTCTATGTTGTGTTTTGTGTACTATTGTTTGTCTGTTGGTCTTTTTCTTTTCTTTATTAGCCATGGGGTTGTCAGTTTGTTTTCGACTTGTGAGTTTGAATATCCCTCTGGTATCTTTTTCCTCTCCCTTTTAAATGAATCTAAGTCGGAGTCACTGAACACAGTTGAAACGTCTTTTCCTAGACAAATTGTAAATAATGATTTATCTTTACATTCACTTAGTTTAACAAAGAGATCAAGACAAACGTTTTCTATTATTAAGTTCGGCCAAGTGCTGTACATCTTTGATGTAAACGTACAGCCAAAGCATGCATGTTCGAAAACGTCAATGAACAGACGGTCGCAAATTTCACAAGATTTGGAAACGTGGTTTGGAGCGGTAGATAGAAGTTTTCCGATAAACAGTGCAGTGCGAATGTCGGAGCTGTTCGAAGGGAATTTCCACACATGAGCCGCAGATACAGATTTATGTATATATTTGAATCTCTTTAAGTCATTGTCCGAAATAATGCGAATCAGCCAGTCATTGTCATGTTTCGTTTCTACTGCATTCACAACAGTACGTTTCCATTGCAGCTTATCAGGAAAGTTGCAATCTAATATAGGTGATAAGACATTCATACAGATTGTATTTATTCAGAATGTGCAATATGTCCAGAATAAATCTAATATGGTTTCGTCCATCTAACAGGCGCGAAAAAAGTCCTTGTAGAAAGATGTGTTTTGCAAGACAAGAGTTTTTCGTTTTACAAAATGTTCCAAAGAAATATAATTTACGTTTTTCGATTTCACATGTTATATTTCGTAGCCCAACCATGCTTTCACACATATCTGATCTTGTTGACGTCTTGAATTTTTGTACGTGCTTTACAACAAAATGCTGAAGTCATTCAGTAATGTCATATCTTGATTTTTCAAATCACACCAAACTTCACAGCCATATAACAAAGTAGGAATTACGACCGGCTTATACAGTTTCACGAGAACTAATGGATTCGTATTATCACCTCTTAAGTTGGCAATTGCAAAATAAGTGTTTCTAACCCTCCTACAAGATTTTGTCGTTAATTTTCCGTTTAGTTCAATGCCTAGATGAATATGGCTTTCTACAACAGGTACAGATTCTTGGTTTATTTCCAGTCATTGCTGTTTTTATTGAAGATTTTGAAAATTGAATAACACATGATTTCTTTCCGTCGAACTGAAACCGCCGGTATCGAGCATGTGTTGTAAACGCATCGGTGTTGTACATGTAGCAATACATGTAATATCGTCAGCAAGTGTCTATTTGAAATGTCATTGTGTAATTAACAATTCTCAGTGTGTGTTTTTCAATTTATTTCATCTCAGTGTGTTTTTTGAAAATCTCAGTGTGTAATTTTAAATTATCAGTGTGTGTTTTTAATTTTTTCAAATCTCAGTGTGTAATTTTAAAATCTCAGTGTGTAACTTCGATTTCTCAGTATGTTATTTTAGGTTCTTAAATCTCAGTGTGATTTTTTTAATTCTCAGTGTGTAATTATTTCGAAAAAATTGTTTAAACATAGTTTTGACGAGAACGGCTTGCCATAGATAAGTACTATCTTTTCGAAAAGCTTAAATACACTAGATAGTGAACATACGGGCCGATAGCTGTCCGGGCTCAATTTAGGTTTATTATCTCCTTTAAACAAGTCTTTTCTGCCAGTCATTAGGAACTTGCTGTTTTTCTATAACAATATTAAGAAAAATTGAAAAAAAAAATCCGCAACTTTCGGTCCACCATATATCAAATGTTCGTTTTGAATCATGTCATTGCCACAGGCTTTTCTACGTTTTAGCTGTTTAATGACAGAGCTTACATCGTCACAAGAAATAGGTCCACCTGGTAAGTATAGGTCTTCATCAGCTTTACATACTCGTTCAATTTCGCTGTAAGGTTTATTCATTTCATTAAGAGTTGGATCATCGAACGCTGACGTATCTTTTCGTGTATAAAGATCTTCAAAATAATTCACAAATGCATCACAAATCGACTCTGGTGATAAGTGAACAACGTTATTATGTTTAATTTGATGACACACTTTTGAATGTTTTGGTTTTTGGCGCTTAATTAGTTTCCAGAATAGTCTTTTGTCATATTTGGCAGTGTTATTAATGTCATCATACATTTCTTCGATATATCGTTCATTTGCAAGTTTCTAAATGATTTTGAAATTTTGTTTGGCTCGTTTGTAGTTAAAGTATGACTCGTGTTGCATACCTCTGGGTCTTCCGTCTTGCATCCATACTCTACTCATTTTGCATTCTTTAGTGTGTGCATTTTTCACGTCTTCATTTCAGTATGGTATTGTGTGCGGATTACACATATTACACGGAATTGTCTCTTTCGCGGTATTCATAAGCGTATTCACTAGTTTATGAAAAATAAGTTTATGTCAATGTCATCTTTTTGCACTTCCCGTATTAGTCTATCTAAAGGAACACACAATATATCTTGATAGTCTTTAATATTATGTTCTGTGATCTTATGCTAAGCTGGAAGTTTCGTAAAATTGTTTAAGTCAATATGTGGGTTTTCGTCTCGTTCCACATAGGCGATATTTGGTAGATGATCTGACGTCGAGCTAAACGTTCCTTCTTCAAGGATTTCATACCGTCGTAATTGTCTGACTGACGTCTTGTCTATCAATATATAATCTAACATTGTATTTGTTAATGTGAATGTGAACTCTGGACCTTTTAGTGGTGTTTTACATGCGTCAGTAAATGGAAGAAAAATATAGTGTCTATGTACAAAATGTTGCAGCTCTTTTGATTTTATCGTGTTTGTAAACTGCAAGTTTTTGTTTATACAAAATTTATTGTCTTATATGAATAGTATAGATATGAGATACAAGAGTATTTCAAAAACTGACAAGTTAAACGATTTATGTAATTGCGTTCATGGTAAAAGGGATATATCTATTTTGATTTCAATAAAAGTGTAATCAAGAACGTTTTTTAGACTTGGCGACATTGCAGCCGAGAATGTCAATGGTAACAATTATACCTGTAATAAGACAAATGAAGACGACTCCAACATATCCTACGGATGTCGCCGATACACGATCATCTGGAGCTGATATCTTGGTACGACGCATCCGGGTTGTATTGGATTTGTTGATACTTAGTTCTTTTTTCCATAAGATCTAAATCTGGCTTTAGTAATTCTCTTAATTGATCAAGAGTTAGATTCATTCCACGTAAGAAATCCCACTTGCCTTTGCCTACTTTTGAACACGGACAAAGGCATTTATCTGGACTGAATGGATAGATAGAAGTGACCACGGGTTTTTCCGAAATTGTATTTACTATCCTGTTGTATGCAATTGTTGTCTTTGCAGATGTTGAAGGCGTTTTCATGTCTGTAGTTGTCATTGTGGATATTGGAAGCGTTGTTATTTTTGTAGTTGTCATTGTATATGTTGAAGGCGTAGTCTGCTCAGTAGCTGTTATTGTAGACGTTAAAGGAATTGTCACCTCTGTAGTTGTCATTGTAGGCGTTGTCCGCGCTGTAGCTGTCATTATTGACGTTGAAGGCGTTGTCTGCTCAGGAGTTGTCATTGTAGACGTTGAAAGCGTTGCCTGTCCTGTAATTATCATTGCATACGTTAAAGGCGTTGTCTGCTCCTCTGTGATTGTCATTGTAGACGTTGAAGGCGTTGTCTGCTCTGTTGTTGTCATTGTAGACGTTGGAGGCATTGTCTGCTCTGTGTTTGTCATTGTAGACATTGGAGGCGTTGTCTGCTCTATAGTTGTCATTGCAGACGTTGGAGGCATTGTCTGCTCTGTAGTTGTCATTGTAGACGACGAAGGCGTTGTCTGTTCTGCAGTTGTCATTGTAGATGATGCAGGCGTTGATTGCTCTGTAATTGTCATTGTAGACGATAAAGACGTTGTGTGCTCTGTTGTTGTCATTGTAGACGTTGAAGGCGTTGTTTGCTCTATAAATATCGTTGTAGATGATGCAGGTGTTCTCAGCTTTTTATTTGTCATTGTAGACGTTAGAGGCGTTGTATGCTCTGTAGTTGTAAATGTAGATGTTAAAAGCGTTCTCTGCTCTTTAGTTGTCATTGTAGACGTTGACGGCGTTCTCTGTCCTGTAGTTGTCATTTTAGACGTTGAAGGCGGTGTCTGACCAGAAGTGTTTATGTTAGATGATGCAGGTTTTGTCAGCTTTGTAGTTGTCATTGTGGACGTTGAAGGCGTAATCTGCTCTAAAGTTGTCATTGTAGACGTTGAAGGAGTTGTCTGCCCTGTAGTTGTCATTGTAGACGATGAAGACGTTGACTGCTCTGCAGTTGTCATTGTAGACGATGCAGGCGTTGTGTGCTCTGTAGTCGTCATTGTTGACGTTGGAGGCGTTGTCTGCTCTTTAGTTGTCATTGTAGACGTTGAAGGAGTTGTCTCCTCTATAATTGTCATTGTAGACGTTGAAGATGTTGTTTGTCCTGTAGTTGTCATTGTAGACAATAAAAGCGTTGCCTGCTCTGTAGTTTTTATTGTAGGTGATGCAGGTGTTGTCAGCTCTGTAATAGTCATTGTTGACGTTGGAGACGTTATCTGCTCTGTAGTTGTAATTGTAGATGTTGGAGGCGTTTTCTGCTCTGTAGTTGTTATTGTTGACGTTGGAGGCGTTATCTGTTCTGTAGTTGTCACTGTTGACGTTGAAGGCGTTGTCTGCTCTGTAGTTGTCATTGTCGATGTTAAAGGCGTTGTCTGTCCTGTAGTTGTCATTGTAGACGTTGAAGGCGTTGTCTGCTCTGTAGTTTTCATTGTAGGTGATGCAGGTGTTGTCAGTTTTGTAATTGTAATTGTTGACGTTGGAGACGTTATCTGCTCTGTAGTTGTTTTTGTAGATGTTGGAGGCGTTGTCTGCTCTGTAGTTGTTATTGTAGACGTTGGAGGCGTTTTCTGTTCTTTAGTTGTCACTGTTGACCTTGAATGCGTTGTTTGCTCTGTTGTTGTCATTGTAGACGATGAAGGCATTGACTGCTCTGTAATTGTCATTGTAGACGATGTAGGCGTTTTTAGCTCTCTAGTTGTCATTGTTGATGTTGAAGGCGTTGTCTGCTCTGTAGTCGTTGTTCTAGACGTTGGAGGTGTTGTCTGCTCTGTAGTTGTCTTTGTTGACGTTGAAGGCGTTGTATGCTCTGTTGTTGTCATTGTGGACGATGAGGGCATTGACTGCTCTGTAGTTGTCATTGTAGACAATGTAGGTGTTGTAAGCTCTCTAGTTGTCATTGTTGACGTTGAAAGTGATGTCTGCTCTGTAGTTGTTGTTGTAGTTGTTGGAGGCGTTGTCTGCTCTGTAGTTGTTATTGTAGACGTTAGAGGCGTTTTCGGCTTTGTAGTTGTCTTTGATGACGTTGAAGGCGTTGTCTGCTCTGTTGTTGTCATTGTGGACGATGACGGCGTTGACTGCTCTGTAGTTGTCATTGTAGATGATGCAAGCGTTTTGTGCTCTTTAGTTTTCATTGTTGACATTGCAGGCGTTGTCTGCTCTGTAGTTTTTATTGTAGGTAATGGAGGTGTTGTCAGCTCTGTAATTGTCATTGTTGATGTTAGAGGCGTTGTCTGCTCTGTAGTCGTCATTGTCGATGTTGGAAGCGTTGTCTGCTCTGAAGTTGTCATTGGAGACGTTGAAGGCACTGTCTTCTCTGTAAATGTCGCTGAAGTTGCTGCAGGTGTTCTCAGATTTGTTGTTGTCATTATATATGTTGAAGGCGTTGTCTGCTCTGTTGTTGTCATTGTAGACGATGAGGGCATTGACTGCTCTGTAGTGGTTATTGTAGATGATGTAGGCGTTTTGTGCTCTCTAGTAGTCATTGCTGACGTTGAAGGCGTTGTCTGCTCTGTAGTTGTCATTGTAGACATTGTAGACGTTAAAGGCGTTGTCTGCTCTGTAATTATTATTGTAGACGTTGAAGGCGTTGTCTGCTCTGTAGTTGTTATTGTAGACGTTGAAGGCGTTGTCTGCTCTGTAGTTGTTATTGTAGACGTTGAAGGCGTTGTCTGCTCTGTAGTTGTTATTGTAGACATTGTAGACGATGCAGGCGTTGACTGCTCTGTAGTTGTTATTGTAGACGTTGAATACGTTGATTGCTTCGTAGTTTTCTTTGTAGATGTTGAAGACGTCGTTGTCTGCTCTGTCGTTATCATTGTTAACGCTGAAGGCGTAGTCTGCTCTGTAGTAGTCATGGTAGATGATGCAGGTGTTGTCAGCTTTGCAGTTGTCATCGTTGACGTTGAAGGCGTTGTTTGCTCTATAATTTTCATTGTAGATGTTGAAGGCGTTGTCTGTCCTGTAGTCGTCATTGTAGACATTGAAGGTGTTGTCTGCTCTGTAAATGTCGTTGTAGATGCCGCAGGAGTTCTCATTTTTGTTGTTGTCATTCTATACGTAGAAGGCTTTGCCTGCTCTGATGTTGTCATTGTAGACGATGAGGGTATTGACTGCTCTGTAGTTGTTATTGTAGACGATATAGGCGTTTTGTGCTCTGTTGTTGTCATTGTTGACGTCGAAGGCGTTGGCTGCTTTGTAGTTGTCATTTTTGACATTGTAGACGTTGAAGACGTTGTCTGCTCTGTAATTATCATTGTAGACGATGCAGGTGTTGACTGCTCTGTAATTTTCATTGTAGACAATGCAGACGTTGTGTGCTCTGTAGTTATTATTGTAGACGTTGAAAGCGTTGTTTGCTGTGTGATTGTCTTTGTAGACGCTGAAGGCGTCGTTGTCTGCTCTGTCGTTATCATTGTTAACGCTGAAGGCTTTGTCTGCTCTGTAGTAGTCATGGTAGATGTTGCAGGTGTTGTCAGCTTTGTAGTTGTCATTGTAGATGTTGAAGGCGTTGTCCTCTCTGTAAATGTCATGGTAGATGATGTAGGTGTTGTCAGCTTTGTAGTTGTCATTAAAGACGATGAGGGCGTTGTCTGCTCTGTAGTTGTCATTGGAGACGTTGAAGGCGTTGTCTGTCTTGTAGTTGTCATTGTTGACGTTGAAGGCGTAGTCTGCCCTGTAGTTGTCACTATAGAAGATGCAGGTGTTGTCAGCTTTGTAGTTGTCATTGTAGATGTTGAAGGCGTTGTCTTCTCTGTTGTTGTCATTGTAGCCGTTGAAGGCGTTTTCTGTCCTGTAGGTGTCATTGTAGACGCTGAAGGCGTTGTCTGCTCTGTAATTTTTATTTTAGATGATGCAGGTGTTGTCAGCTCTGTAATTGTTATTTTAGACGACGAAAGGGTTGTCTGCTCTGTAGTTGTCATTGTAGGCGATGCAGGCATTGACTGCACTGTAGTTGTCATTGGAGACGTTGAAGGCGTTGTCTGTCTTGTAGTTGTCATTGTTGACGTTGAAGGCGTAGTCTGCCCTGTAGTTGTCACTATAGAAGATGCAGGTGTTGTCAGCTTTGTAGTTGTCATTGTAGATGTTGAAGGCGTTGTCTTCTCTGTTGTTGTCATTGTAGCCGTTGAAGGCGTTTTCTGTCCTGTAGGTGTCATTGTAGACGCTGAAGGCGTTGTCTGCTCTGTAATTTTTATTTTAGATGATGCAGGTGTTGTCAGCTCTGTAATTGTTATTTTAGACGACGAAAGGGTTGTCTGCTCTGTAGTTGTCATTGTAGGCGATGCAGGCATTGACTGCACTGTAGTTGTCATTGGAGACGTTGAAGGCGTTGTCTGTCTTGTAGTTGTCATTGTTGACGTTGAAGGCGTAGTCTGCCCTGTAGTTGTCACTATAGAAGATGCAGGTGTTGTCAGCTTTGTAGTTGTCATTGTAGATGTTGAAGGCGTTGTCTTCTCTGTTGTTGTCATTGTAGCCGTTGAAGGCGTTTTCTGTCCTGTAGGTGTCATTGTAGACGCTGAAGGCGTTGTCTGCTCTGTAATTTTTATTTTAGATGATGCAGGTGTTGTCAGCTCTGTAATTGTTATTTTAGACGACGAAAGGGTTGTCTGCTCTGTAGTTGTCATTGTAGGCGATGCAGGCATTGACTGCACTGTAGTTGTCATTGAAGACGATTCAGGCGTTGTGTGCTCTGTAGTTGTCATTGTAGACGTTAAAGGTTTTGTCAGCTTTGTAGATGTCATTGTAGTTATTGAAGGCGTTGTGTGCTCTGTAGTTGTTATTGTAGACGTGAAAGGTTTTGTCAGCTCTGTAGTTGTCATTGTAGTCGTTGAAAGTGTTGTCTGCTCTGTAGTTGTCATTGTAGACAACGAAGGCGTTGTGTGCTCTGTAGTTGTGTTTTCCGTAGTTGTCATTGTCGACATTGAAGGCGTTGTATGCTCTCTAGTTGTCATTGTAGACGTTGGAGGCGTTGACTGCTCTGTAATTGTCATAGTAGACGATGCAAGCTTTGTGTGTTCTGTAGTTGCCTTTGTAGTCGTTGAAAGTGTTGTCTGCTCTGTAGTTGTCATTGTAGACGTTAAAGGTTCTGTCAGCTTTGTAGTTGTCATTGTAGACGGTGCAGGTGCTGTCAGCTCTGTATATGTCATTGTTGAAAATGCAGGTCTTGTCAACTTTGTAGATGTCATTAAAGACGTTAAAGGCGTTGTCTGCTCTGTAGTTGTCATTGTTGACGTTGAAGGCGGTGTCTGATTTGTATTTGTTATTGAAGTCGTTGAAGGCGTTGTCTGTCTTGTAGTTGTCATTGTAGACGTTGAAGGCGTAGTCTGCTCTGTAGTTGTCACTGTAGAAGATGCAGGTGTTGTCAGCTCTGAAGTTGTCATTGTAGACGTTGAAGTCGTTGTCAGCTCTGTAGTTGGCATTGTAGATGTTTGAGGCTTTGTGTGTTCTGTAGTTTTCCTTGTAGACGTCGAAGGCATGGTCTGCCCTGTAGTTGTCATTGTAGACGTTGAAGGCGTTGTCTGTCCTGTAGTTGTCATTGTAGACATTGAAGGCGTTGTCTGCTCTGTAGTTGTCATTGTAGGCGTTGAAGGCTTTGTCCGCTCTGTAGTTGTCATTGTAGACGATGCAGGTGCTGTCAGCTCTGTAGATGTCATTGTTGAAAATGCAGGTTTTGTCAACTTTAAAGACGTTGAAGGCGTTGTCTGCTCTGTGGTTGTCATAGACGTTGAAGGCGTTGTCTGTTTAGTAGTTGTCATTATAGACGTTGAAGGCATAGTATGCTCTGTAGTTGTCACTGTAGAAGATGCAGGTGTTGTCAGCTCTGTAGTTGTCATTGTAGACGTTGAAGTCGTTGTCTGCTCTGTAGTTGTCATTGTAGACGATGCAGGCGTTGTGTGTTCCGTAGTTGTCATTGTCGACATTGAAGGCTTTGTATGCTCTCTAGTTGTCATTGTAGACGTTGGAGGCGTTGACTGCTCTGTAATTGTCATAGTAGACGATGCAGGCGTTGTGTGTTCTGTAGTTGTCATTGTAGACGATGAAGGCATTGTCTGCTCTGTAGTTGTCATTGTAGACGTTGAAGGCGTTATCTGCTCTGTAGTTGTCATTGTAGACGTTGAAGGCGTTGTCAATCTTGTAGTTAAAAAGATTGATGTTGTCTCGGACGTCATGATTCCTGTAGGTGATGTTGGCACAACTATCAAAATACAAATATATCATTCTGAGTTATAACATACAAATTATTTTTATCTTTTTAACTAACCTTAATACTTTGTGGAGTTTCGATTCATTAGGTCGCTGCTTCAATCACGCTTAAGCGCACCTCTCCTTTTATATGTATTGAATTGTGTGTATATTGATGATATCAATACTGAGCGTATAAAAGCATATTGTCAAAAACAAAATACCCTTTTTTTCTCAAAATTAACAGTTGAATTTGATATTTTTGGGTATAAAGTCTCTTACACGTTTTTGGTCACATACAATGGTGTAAATAATTCTAAAACTTGGTCTAATACAGTTATGAAAAAAACTAAAACATTGTGATATTGAATTGTACGCTTATTAGATAGCGTACTTCATAAGAGTATTGTTTTTAAAAAAAAGTTACGAGAGCCCCAAATGAATGCATTATCAATTATCGAAGATTTGATCAGAGTATCAAATAACTACGTTGAACACCTATATGCGCTTGACTTTTAACATCAATCAACTCAGTGCACATAGCCGTTGCTACAGCTTTTGCCACCTTATTTCATCAACTCAGTAGTCAGTACTTTGGTACTGACATGATTTATAACAATCCTTCCTAAAATTGTCCGTTAATAAATTTTGAAATTATAAAGAAAATAAGGTTTCAACTCCCTCTGGCAAAGTTGACCTTAAATACATTTTTGCTATTTTTTTAGGTTCTTTTTTGGTTATATAGCCCTTCAACTGTTTCGGTTTTTATAAATCCTTGGATTTCAAATATTCAGCTTTGGTCGTTCCTGATGAAGGTAAATCCAGAAAAGCGCTTCGGACGCATGAAATTTATAACGTGTTGTTTTCATCATTTTTTCACGGATCCGTAAGAGTGTCTGTGAGCTGTGACGAGTTATTTACGGATACCAACGAGTTATTTACGGATGCTTGAGATTAACTAAGAGTTGGCGATCCGTAAGGACTTGTTAAAAAATCCGTGTATGTGAAGGGGGCATTAAAAACTTTTGTTTTGGTATTTCAGTCCAAAAAACGGAGGAAATATAAAAATAAGAAGATGTGGTGTAATTGTCAATGAGAGAACTATCCACCAGAGACCAAATGCCATAGAAGTTAACAACTATTGGTCCCCGTACGGCCTTCAACAATGTGAAAAACCCATACTGCATAGTCAGCTGTAAAAGGCCCCGAAATGACAAATGTAAAACGATTCAAACAAGAAAACTAACGGCCTGATTTATGTAAAAAAAACAATGAACGAAATATAAATATGATATACAGCAACAAACGACAACCACTAAATTACAGGCTCCTGACTTGGGACAGGCACATACAGAATGTGGCGGGGTTAAACATGTTAGCGGGCGCCAAACCCTCCCCTTAACCTGGGACAGCGGTGTAACAGTACAACATATGAACAAGCTATAAAAATCAGTTGATAAGGGCTTAACTCATCAAATCACAAAAAAAACCCAGACAGAACGTGGCAGGGTATTTATACACCCTACAACAAAAAAGACAACAAGTACAGTTCTGGTGGTACTCGCAGTTTATGACAGCTAGTTCAAAGCCAATAACAACTAATAAAAAATCATGTATCGAACGTCACGGTACCTAAATTGCACCGAGTACCCAAATTGCACTGATCTAGCAAAAGTAGCAGCGGAAATCTTACAAGTTTTCTTAGAGACTAAACAATTTGTATTTTTTATGATTTGACATTATGCACGTCTTTCAACAGAGGTTAATATATTAAAATATACACAAAACGTTAACAGTATACATCAACAGATGAAGTATTCACTGGTAAAGGAAAATGTACGGAAACGTCGCCATGCGACGTCCACAAAAAGGTCATCTTCTAAAAATGAGCAAATAAAATATGTAACAAGCCTCCATTTCTTAAAAGATGAATAGTAACCATAGATTAATCTCAAATTGTTCTAAATATTTGAAAAAATAAAACAATTTATCTGTAATTCGATTTTTGAGGATGTGAATTTAAGCATGGATGCAATTTGGGTACTCCTCATTACAGAATCATGGATCGTTTGGAGGTCTGTTCAAACCCATTTTTTTATGATTCAGTATGGATTCAAAACTAAATTGGTGGAACCATATAGTGAATAATGATACATCTACAAAATAAACACAGAATGGAAACTTTTGTTTGGATCATAAATAAACATAGGTGAAAAAACTGTCAAAGTAGGTGCAATTTGGGTACCCTCACGTTAAGACTATAGTATTGTTTCTGGTTAAAACCTTTAGATGCTAATGAAAAATTGTAAATCAAAAGAGAGGCAAAAGATACAAAAATGATATTCATAAACAACATAGAAAACTAACGACTGAGAAACACGAATCCCACCATACCCGGTGATGATCTCAGGTGCTACGGAAGGGTAAGCTAATCCTCCCCACACGAGGCACCTTCGTGTTGCTCGAAAAAGTTCAAACACGTAGGGGGTGAGTCTAATTCGGTAGGTCACATTCGATTAAAGAGGACGGGATTGCAGTTACAACAATTGGAACATATATGTCGCCATCTAATCAAACAAGGCCCGTATGCATAAAACATCTTAACTTAAGTGTTCCTTAAACTTAAATTTCACTGAGAACTTCCTTAGTTAAGTTAAATCATTAAGTTGTATGCATAAAACTACTTAATTCTTTACTCATCTAAGGAATACTTAAATCAGAATCTTAATTACCGTATGCTATATGTTAGGTCATTGTATGTACTCATCTGTGAAAACGTTTGTTTTGATTATTTACATTGATTGAACAATAAATACTTTAATCAATATTTTGGATTAAATTGATATTGGTGTGTTCCAGATTTAGAATTCGAAAATATACGTTACCAACTTAAATGACAATTTATGCGCATAAGACAATAAGTTGATTTGATGGATAAACATAGGCAGAAAACAATATTTCTATTGCAAAGTACCCCTACTGTTACTACAGTTGAGATGAAAGTGGCTTGGAGAGGGCATTTTTTTTTTCTCTTGAGACAACCATATACTTTTCAACGATCACGTTTTTTCAATTTTTTTTAGATCTATTTCGATTAGAAATAAGAAAAAACAACAAAAAAAAAACATCCTTTTTACAGAATGGACAGGGGTAGGATCAGTTTTCCATAAATGTACATCAAACCATGGCCGTTTTTCAAAAGTCCTTCAATCTTTATAAAACAGACAGTATCCAATTCATATGTTTACTGTAAGATTTTAACAACATCTTAGCGTATTTCCAAATATTTCTCTTTAAAGTCATCAATGCCTGAAGATGACACAAACCTGTTATCTTGCTAGATGTTGGAAAATTTTGAAAAAAATATCTAAAAGTGCCGAGAACATGGAGAAGGTCATTCCTAACAAAAAAGAAATTCTATTGGAAGTAATGACATAAATTGTTTGTCCAATACAACACAATCTATTTAGATTATAGCCTTCCTTCTTTGCAAAATTTTAATAAATATTTTTGTTAACAGCTTTATATCACTGAATGTTTAAGGAGAAACTAAAAATAATTGATAACGGTTTTATTATCATTAGTATGTTACTTAAACTTCGAATTCCAATAGGTCTTAAACATTTCTGATTTTGTTCCAGTTAGTGGAAATATATTTAGAGGAAATTTGCCCTATTTCTTTAGAATAAAACTACATAATCAAAAAACCGAAGTCCCCCTTCCCAAAGAAAAAACAGGAAGTTTGCATGCCTAAAGATCCTCAAAGCCTCCTTTTTGCCTTTTGCACTAACAATCAATACCATGGGTGTATTTTACAACAATATAACGTTAATGTTATCTATGTGAGCATGCACGAACAGAGGAATAAATAAAAATAAAAGCATGAATTCCATGCGTGTAAAATTAAAGTTGTGAGTACATTTCGCAATAGCGAGATTGAGTCAAAAGGATACAAAGAAATTATATAACTACCCTCTTGAATATGTTGATTTTACGTGACTTTAAGAAAAAAATAAAATTGTCGTCAATATCTAGCAACAAACAAACGAAATATTGTTGACATAATTATTCATAAATAAATACTTCAAACCAGTAAAAGTCTGAAATGGCCTATATCTGTACTCAACTTTACTGATTTTTACACGACCAGTCTGAATTGGTCTTACTATTACTCGATATTACTGAACTGTAATCTGAACCATACTTAACAGTCTGAACTTGTACTTTACCTTTTCTCCACCAGTACTTAACCATTTTATACGTGTCTGAACCATACTCGACCAAGTCTAAACCATGCACGACCTAGTCTGAACCATACTCAACATAGTCTGAACCATACTCAACATAGTCTGAACCATACTCAAAATAGTCTGAACCATACTCGACCAAGTCTGAACCTACTAAACATAGATTGCGGATACGACAATCGGAACATATATGTTGCCATCTATCAAACAAGGCCCGTATGCATAAAACATCTTAACTTAAGTGTTCCTTAAACTTAGATTTCACTGAGAATTTCCTTAGTTCAGTTAAATGCATAAAACTACTTAAGTCTTCACTTATCTAAGGAATTCTTAAATCGGAACCTTAGTCGGAAAAAAAGTCACAGGAAAAAAAGATCACAGGATAAAAAGTCACAAATTTGGTAGGAAAAAAAGCCACAAGAAGGAAAGTCACTGGAAAAAAAGTCACACATTTGATAAGGTAAACGGAAAAAAAGTCACAGGAAAAAAGTCACAGGAATAAAATATAGAAAAAAAGTCGTAGAAATTTTGAAGTAGTATTTTATAACTTTTCTCTTCTTTTAAAGTTATCAAAATTTCATTGGTATATAAATGACATATCATCAAAAAAAATACATTTTTTATGGTTTTAAGTGTTTATCTGTCCAGACAGTAGAAGATTGACAGGAAATGTAAATTAAAACCAGTTAATAAGTTAATAAAAGAGAGGCAAAAGATACCAGAGGGACATTCAAACTAATAAGTCGAAAATAAACTGAGCCAAGGC